AATTGAAGATTTCACTACGAACAAGATTCAATTTATTGAGTTATAATTACTTCCTCAGCTAGCAATATTTATCACTTTATTTTAACATAATAGTATAAGGACTCTCAATTGAGGTAAACTTTTTCCAATGACATTATTACGAAGTAGATGAAATTCAATTTAAGGTAAAAACGATAATATAATCTTTACAAAAAACAATTTCACATCCATGAAGCCACTCTTATATGCTACTAACGTGCACGAAAAAGAAAATCTCAAATACCGTGCATGATTTGTATGTCGAAGAAAGTTAATGTATGTGGATGTAGAAAAGATAACACGGATAGGTAATCCTTATGAAATTGTTTAAGGGCTTAACACTAGCACTTCTTTAGTATATGAAGGTAATGGGCTCAAAGATTGAGACAGATGTGTCACAGGCCCAAAGCCTACATGGACCAGGCCGCCTACTACTTCAATCCGGCACATTGGGCATCACATTCTCCACTTGTCAACAGACACAAGTATATGTAAGTGTTTTTGGGCAAGGTTGGTAACTAATCTTTATTTATAATTTGCCATTCTGAGAGAACAGAAAACGGGGCGTTTGAGGGAGAATAGTGAACATTGAGAATGAGGACACAAAGTTTCTCTGTTCCAAAGTTACATTATCCATACAACAACAGAAAGCAACATTTGCGTTTCTTCTTTAACTAAGGGCATGATGTGGACCTCCTTGGTCCATTTTAGGAACAAACATTCATACATAGAACTGAAAAGCCAAAATATAAAAGAACCAAGGGCCTCCCCTCTCACACACACCAAAGCTCGTTTAGCCCATGGCATACTTCTGGGTCCAGCTCCTTGCAGTTGTCTCGTACTTGCTCCTGTCTGTCTTGTACATGTGAGCAATCTCCGGCACCAATGGATCATCAGGATTTGGGTCCGTCAGCAAAGAACAGATTGATAGCAATACCTAAAAAAAGAACAAGATCATTCAAAAAAAAGTTTTAACCAATTAAAAATACAGCTAAGAGTGTAAGATTTTATGGCAGAAACTATAAATAATGGTCAATATTTTTACAAGGAACAAGCTAAGAGTGTGAGTTTCATTTGGGGTATTGGGGTTAGATTCTACCACTTTTGCCGCTAGTGGTGGTCTTCACGTTTGGATTTGGGGATTCAATTTCAGGTTGATCAGGTTTGTGTTCAGGTTGTTGACTTTTCCAGTCAATTTGCATTAATATTTTGGCCATGATGGGTGGCTCTTTCAGGTTCGATCCATTGTTACAACCTCTGATGATCCAAATCTATGAGAGTTGTTAGTTAGAGGACAATCTCACCTTGGAAATCGTTAGTGCAGGACTCCACTGCTCCTTCAAGATGTCTAGGCAAATGCTCCCATTGCTGTTAATATTGGGGTGGAATACCTTTGTTCTAAATGCCACCTGCAAAATATCATATACAAAACATCAGAGAGACAGAAGGAAGCAATATGGCTTCTTAAAATACAATTGGTTAGACAAATAAAAAAATTTTCCACCAAACATGGAGTAACCCAACACAATGTAAGTTTCCTTCTACATGCATTTCATATCATTTCAAGCTTTTCAAAATATCTATGGCCTATTAATAGCATTGCAAGTTTTCATGTAAATTAAATTTCATTTTAAACTTAATAAGCCATTAGGTAGAACAGCAGGCAAGAAACATTTCCAGCAACATGACAATGAAGGCTTCAAATGTGCTTCCTTAAAGTATCTACCACTCTTCAAGGGCACATATTTTCAACTACCTCCATAGGCAAAGAAACAAGTCATCCAAAAAGGAATCATGTTTCTACTTAAAGCAAAATCCTCAATTTCTTCAAAATTCATAAAAAGGGAAGATAGATAGAGAGGGTGGGAGAGCATTTCAAATAAGATAACTATGCCACTTGATAAGAGAGGTAGCTGCCCAACCCGGAATAGGAGTGAATGATCAAAGTCACAAAGCACTGAAATGACAAGAGGAATTTTCTGTACACTTCCAGAATGTCAGACAAAACAACCAGCCAATATTATAAGTAACACCAATTACATAAAAAGTACCTTGGGAGGCTTAAAAGGATAATCTGGAGGAAAATGAATGGTCACTAGGAAAACACCCCCAGAATAAGGACTGTCTGGTGGACCCATGATTGTTGCCTGCCAATGAAACATGTCTTCGGCAACAGGACCTGCAACATTGTCAGATAAATATAAGCAATAAAGTTCAATATTAATCCTTGAGCACTAGTACATACTACCAATTGCCAAAAGACATGAGGACTAACAATATAAGAAAACATGGAAGATTTTATCTTATGAAATATCAATATCACACAGATGAAAAAATTCATTATGCAATATGTAAACAGGCAAAATCGTGATGTGATCACATTGCTTACTTAGAAACTAAAAATTCATAAAATGAGGAAATTGCTTTTCTGCTATTCAGCCACATATAACAAAACAATCAGTCAACAAAAAGCTTTAGAATCCCTAGGAAGATTAGCCCCAAATAATAAGACAACAGACCCACTTAGCCACTAAGGTTCACCAACTTGATGTACACCCCAGAATTTAATAGACTTGCAATCAACAATGCCCATGAACTCAATAATAGAAAGGGGTCCTTCCTAGTTACAACAAAAATACTCCACCTCTTCACTTTACCCTGTCACACTTGTCTTGGACATATATCAGATACAGAAACGTTCTGAAGATCAGATGGCATAATAAAGTATATTAAAGTTCTCAATTTCTTTCCTCTTACTATAAGCCCAAGAGGGGAAAGGAAAACATTAATCATGGGAAAATGAACCCTTTCCTTCCATTCAACTATTCTATCTTTAGAGTGGCAGACTTTCCACCCTTGAATTCAGAAGCCAAGCAAAAGGCTTCAATCAATAATGCCATTGCAATATGAAATGCTATTGTTATCACCAATGTCTGCAATTTTATTTCTTAATAAGGATTTAAAAAATACTCAAATATTTCACGAGGGAAAATTATGCTTTCTACATCTGAAGAATATAAGCGTTGAAACATAGCACTATGTTTTGCTCTATATATGAGCTTCCAAAATGTGTCAAATACCTTTGTCAACATCAAGAGAAAACATAATAGGACATCTATACATGTACAAGAGTCAAACACAACCTATAGTTCAAGTATGTCATAAATCTAAGACCAACCAATAGAAAGAGAACCACTTCCAGGTCAACACACGTTTATGGATTAAAAAGATGCATTTGAACATACTGAAATGCTAACATGTTTTTACGTATGCTCTTAAAATTGTTCAAATTGACCTCCTCCTGGGAAGCTACAACTACATCAGTCTTTTAAAAAGAACACAATTTGCCAACTGCAATCAAAACAATATGCTACACAGACTCGATTATGAGATAAAAACGCTAACTAAGCTGTCCTTTCCACATGTCGGCAGCAAGCACCAAAATATAATAATTTCTAAATAATCACAAATGAATATTACTATTAATTTAGCATTATTAAAAATCACCGATAATTACTACATCAAGCAGATCTTTTTCAATCCTCGGATTTGAATCCAAAAACACATTTTACATGAAGATTAAAACAAGAACAAATCAATATCTCGAAAGACAAAATAAAAATAACAGCGGAAAGGAGGAGTTTTTAATAAAATGTATACCAGCGCTGCAAGAAGTAGGAGGATCCTTTTGTAAATCCTTCAATTCCTTCAAGATCCGCTTCGATGCCATCGCGAAACCTACGATCCATTAAACCGTAGATCAAAAAATAAAAACAACGCAAATAAAAATACAAAAAATAAAACAAGATAAACAAACAAAATAAAGCGAGAAATCGAAGAGATCAAACCTGAAAAGATGTTTTAGATCCTCCTTTTCTTTGTTTTTCTTTTTTTTTTCCTGGGGAGGGGCGGGGTCGAGTGCCTGAAGGAACTTTGGGTGGGTAGGAGAGGAAAGATTAGATCGAAGAAATGAAAGAAATGAGAAAAGACTTTATGATTGGCTGCGGTGGCGGTCTTTTATAAACGGATGGACCGGCCTCTGTGGTGAGTTTCTGATTGGGCTAACGTTATTCTCTGGTGGGTCCCATGCTTTAGCGTTCTATGTACGAAAATCACCAGATTGTCGCCGAAAGTGGCCGCCAGGAAACTTATTAATAAGGCTGTTTTATTATTTGGGTTATATTTTTTTAAGCAAAAAAAAAATTATTTTAGTGGACGGGAATCTAGGACTAACTCGTAGTCCTTAGTCGTTCGACGAAAATCTAAATCGGACTTTCTACCAGCCGACGTCGTTTTAAAGGCGGGCGGATCGTGGTGGGTGTCGTTTTCGGGTTTTTGATCAGCTGAAAAGACCGTGGGGTGGGTGGAGCCGGTCCAAAGTCCCCAAGCCTCCAACGCGTTGTCAATGAGTCGACTTGGTCTGGCCGTCCGGGTTTGGGTCAAACCCATGAATTGGGTTTTAAGAAAGCCCTAGACCTTGATGAGTCCTGGCTGAACCCAACTGTTTCCAACACATTTTCCGCATTGGCGTGCTTATTCGGATTGCTAACATTGTTGCCATTTCCTATCACTACAAATTAATTCATGCGGTCAATAAGTTATGTTCTTTAACTATTTTTTCGTTTCTCTTTTTATCATAAAGTTTAACTTAGATAGTTGATGGCATAAAATATACTTCTGAGTAATTATTGGTTAGTTTATTTCAAGAAAATGAAGTAATGTAATTGCATAAATAAAAATAATTGAGAGACCATACCATCCAATAGTAGTGTTTTCATAAAAGAAAAGTGACCGGAAGCATTTTTTACAACAAAAGAACCTAAACTAAAGAATGAAGAATATTGGACTTTGAATTCGACAAAAGGAAAAAGGGAACATTGGACCAGTTTTTAAAAGAAATGGGAGATATCGAACCATTGGAGATTATTAAAATTGAAATAATTTAATTCTTTAGTATTAAATTCAATAATCAGGAACCAGCTGATCTGACGCCTCAGATTCAATGCAGTATTGCAGCTTATTTTGATCACTCTCCCAGACAGGATCCAGATCATAGGCGGGGCCCATGGGGGCATGATGCGGATTTCGTAACAAGAACACCCGAAGTAAGCTGGCCTCCTCCGCCTCTCTCTTCTCTCTGTCTCTCTCTCAATTTCCCAAAAGCCAAACATCGGCCGCCGATTCCGACTCGTCTTCGATCGACAATGAACCGTTACAAGGCACAACGGCGAGTCCAAATCGATGAATCGGACACTCCCAAGTACGACGACGATGTACAAGACGAAGAACAACAAGAAGAAAACGGGATTCGATTGAGACCGTCGGATAGCAATGTGACGGAAGATCAGGAGCCGTTCATGGGATTCAAAGCCAGACGAAAAGCCTCCCTCCGTAGAGAATACAAAGGAGACTACTTAGATGTCCCTTCCCGCCCCTTCTTAATGAAGATCTTGCAAAAACAAGGTTACCCTCTCCCACCTTTTTGTAAATTGTTATTATTATTTTTTCAATTTTATCGCAGCAATTGAATAAAAAAATGGCCTTTCTTTGTGGCAGTGTCTGTAGTTTATAAGAACTTATAATAGCGGTAAAATTCTTGTCTTTGTTTAATATTTGGAATAATAATTGAGATTTTATTAAGAGGAATTATTCTAATGAAACCTGCAGGTGACAAGCAAGTTTTATTTGCTGATAAAGTTTTGAAGTTCACTTCATCAGGGAAGATGAAACGGCGAATTCTTATGATTACTGATTTTGCAATTTACATTGTTGACCCTGACACCGATGCACTTAAACGCCGGATTGCTTTAGCAGCCGTCGACAAGATGTGTTTGAGTGAATTAAGTGATAATTTCTTCGCCATTATCATTCCAACGGAGTATGATTTACTTATGGCGAGTACTCGCAAAACTGAAATCGTAACTGTCTTGGTTGAAGCTACCAAGAGTGCTTCTGAATATGAACTGGAGGTGGTTTTCTCCAATAGGTAAATACTATTTATCTAACCTCCACTTATATGTTTCGTAGTTTTATCACGTGTTTGTTTCTGTTTCCTTGGTTTGATTCAATTGTTAAAGGTTGTTTGGAACCAGTATGTAGGCTTTTTTTCACTAGATTTTACTAACAGTTGTAACTAATGCAGTTCAAGTTACTAACATCATGCAAACACCTTCACATTCTAGTGTAAGTGGCTGTTTGGGACAGGCGACGTTGGGGTCTTCTATTAGCCATTTCATTCATTTCTTGATGTGTGCTTTTGCATCTACAAAAGATTTCGTGTCACTGAATTCTGTTGAAAATACCTGACACTGATCACCAATGGGATCATACATGACAAGAATCAAGAATCAGCTTTCTTGTTGAAGAGGAAATTACATATCATATCTGCATTAGAAGCAAGAGGCATAGAGAAAAGCCTGCATTAGTAACAAAAAGAGGGAGTTTTTGTCTCCATTATATAAGTTTGGTCTGAGAGTCTTCATAGAAATTATTAGATATCTGCTATGTTTTTGCTCTAGATGGCATTCGTAGGATAGTGTAACCTTACTCTCAGCAACATCAAGCTTCTCATTGGAGGATACTTTCCAGCATAATGTTAATTTAGATGCTATGAAGGAGATTTTCTTTTCTTACAATTGTGTCTTTCAATCTTGCATTCATCCCCGCTTTAGTAAACATTTACAAGGCTGTTGGTTTCTGTTTAATATAACTTTTTATCTATTAATCTGTTTGTCTATTCCTTCTTTTTTTTTTGGTTAGGTTTGAATATAATGCTTCTGCTGACCTTGTTAAGGAGGTTCAATTTGAGGAAGTTGAAGGTATGTGATGAAATGCATTTTACAGTTGTTTTATACTGGTTTATGTGTCACTGAAACATGAATATTTATGCAAATTTCAGGGGGTGTTTAGAACAAGAATTGTGAGGAAGTGAGTTAGTTGCTGCATGTATTTTCCTTGAGTGAGACCCTTGTGGTAAGTTGTACTCTTCAACATGTAAAAAGGAAAGATTCATTGGTCTGTGTGTGAGATCTGCTCAAGCCTGTAGGCCACACCCAAATTTATGTAGCTTATTTTTCCTTTTACACCATATATATATTTGTCATCTTTATTTCGAAAAAATGGTTTTGTATAAAATTTATAACTTTTTTTTCCTTTCTTTGTGGGATGTGATACCTCCACCACTTGGTTGAAATTGTCACATAGAAGATGCTTCCATTGTGCAAACTTTAATATTATTTTACGCTTCAAATTTTGTGCTGTGATGGCAAAGGAATTTATTTGAGACAGTTGACAAATGCAGGTACCAATAATGAAAAATAATTGTAACTGATTTTGTTATTTTTCCTGGTTTTTGCTCAAGAGGAAATCACCAAAAGTTTGAACTTAGAATATCCATCTTACATCGTACTACCATTTGAAGCAAGTCGAGTGGGCTGCAGGTGGGTAGTAATTTCAAAGATTTTCTCTATAATTCACAGGAGCAAATGTCTGGTCTTATAAAGAAAACAAGAGGAAAGGAGGTCAAAATGATGACAGAAAAGAAGGAAGTTGAAATAATGATAACTCAAGCAACACAAGTCTGCACACAGTAACAAACTGCACTGAGGGGACTAATAAATTCCAACAGGTCGCAGAGTTAATGAAGGAGGAACACTTGAACAATAAGCTGAATATTTAAGGTATCTTGTCAAGTTGTTCTTGAAATCAATGTATGTGAACCCAAACCTAAGGGTGTATCCAGAAGTCCATTCGAAGTCATCCAAAAACGCCCACACGTAGTACCCTTGATGTTAACACCCTCCCTGACAAAATCCCAATTCACTCAATTAGTTATTTTGTTATTGCCTAAAAATAAATAAGTATATGAAATATTGGTTCTTTTGTTTTTTGCTTGGTTACTGCATAGACTAACGATTTATATAAAACTAAGCTTGATTTCGAGCACTAACCTGATTGCTTTTAAAGGGATTTTAGGTGGCCATCAAGGTATCTTATCCTGGTGCTGTCCTTGAGCGCTTCTTTTACTGTCAATGAAGCATTATTTGCTTCAGCCACCCCTGCAAACATCCAGGTTTTTTGGTTTCAGATCCAAGGAAGAAATTAACAACATTCATTAAGATTTAGAACTCAAGCCAACCATTCTCTGTAATGTAAATGGGTGGATTGTTATATTTCTCCTTTATGTAAAGCATAAGCTGCCGCAAGCCCTTTGGATAAATGAAAAGCCAGCTCACTGCAGTCTGCATAATTATTGACACCAACCAGTCCAGTAGTTTGCTTGATAACACTGATAAAATAGTAGAAACGTTGATAAGGAATAACTAGGCAAATGAGAGAATAAAAACAGCTACCGGTGTGCCAATTGGAACTCCATTCTTTTCGGCTGCAACAACCAAATATCTGTTAATGTTACTGCAAGTTTTCTGCTGTTTTTTTTTTTTTGAAAAAAAGGAGGAGTTAATAAGCTGGATAAAAAGTCTTTAGCCTACTTGTGAGATTGACTCTGTTATCATTGGCAGCGATGGCAGTGTTGGATGGAGGAGCATTTTCTGCATAATTTGCGGTGTAGTAATTTACACCAAGAAAATCGATGGACCCTTTTAACATTTTGGACTCTGCTTCGGTGAATTTGGGCAGTCTTCTCCCTACCAATGATCGCATGCTCTTTGGATACTCACCAAATATCAGTGGATCCACAAACCTACACAAAATTTTTGCCAAAATTGAAATGTTCAAAGCATGCAATACAAGGGAAACTTAACAGTAATGCAGGTAAAAGTATTCTCCACTCACCATCCGAAAAGGAAATCTAGAGCTCTGGAAGCTGCCTTGCTGTCAGCAGTTGTCTCGGATTTTGGTACGAACCAATTAGTTATTATGGTAATTCCAATTTTTCCCTTTTGAGATGCCTGCACATTAGTTCTATCAGCATTAGGATTCTTTTTGGGTTAGCAGTTGCCTAACAATCTTCTTCACTATTCTTTGGAAACTATATAAACCTGGTACTTCTTCCTGTAGAGTTTGACAGCAGCTGCATGGGAAAGAAGGAAGTGATGGGCCAAGATGTAGGACTCGGCCGGAGAAGAGGCAGCAGAGCCATTGGCACCGCCCAGGCTCCACCCATTTGGTTCGTTCATGGTCACCCAGTGCTTGACCGGGTCACCAAATGTTTTAAAGCACAAATCCGCATAATCAACATAATCATCCCTGGTCCAATTATTTAATTGTTTGCCTCGATTACTTTGAGTAAGACAACATAGTTTTTCGGGGTAAGTAAAACTAACTTACACAATCTTGGGACTTAAGAACCCTCCATAGTCATCCTCAAGAGCTTGCGGATGATCAAAATGGAGTAAAGTCACAAACGGCTTTAAACCTGTTCATAATAGAGAATGTTAGAGCAGAGACATTTGGATTGTTTCAAAGCAAAATTTAAGGTAGTAGCATGAAAGATCAGAGATTGGAATTTGACCATTGGCAAGAAGCTCATCGATGAGGTTGTTATAAAATTGGACCCCTGGTGGGTTTACTCCTCCACAAAGTTTCCCCTCTGAAAATATAGAGCATAAATTTCAATACCATGTTATGCAATTTGCTAACAGTTGAGCTGATTTCAGAGATGATCTTACTGGGTAAAATCCTAGACCATGAAATGGAGAATCTGAAGGAATCCAAACCAACTTTCTTCATCAGCTTTATGTCGTCCTGTAGCATTTCTTGGACAATCTTTTACGATTTAGAAAAACTTATCTAAACATATATATATATATATATATATATATATATATAAAGGTCACGGATATAATTCATCAGCAGTTATATAGCACAAACCTTGTAACGATGATAAAAATCAACAGCTACATCTCCTGTACTTCGATCAGCAATTCTTTCTGTCATATGCCATCAGTAGATTTGTCAATAATTATATTATATAGAGGATTTCTTACAGAAAAAAAAAACATTCTAATTGGAATAGTGAAGAACAGTTTAAAGATTGATTCTTTTCGATACCTTGTCACATAATAGAAATGCAATATTTACATATGGCCATTTGTGTAAATGTTATCAATTAATTTTTCTTCTCTATATATGAAAATGCATTAGATTTAAGTTATACAAACAAACACTATCTTTCCCCTTTAACAGTTTGATAGGTTTGTTTGAAGACAATTCATGAAATAGTGAAGAAAGTGGAAAAAAAATTAAGGAAACATTTCAGGTTGAAGAGGAAGTTACCAAGGTGTCTTTTTGTTTTTTTTGTTTTTAATTTTTTTGTAGTTTTATTTCCTTGTTTTTATTGTTTTGCTAGTCAAAGGTCAAAACCGCGACCTACGGTGGTGTCAAAATGAAACAGATGGCAGCCGTCTGAATCAACGTTCGATGTACATGTTCATAATTTATAAGAAACTTTGAATTAGAAAGCTGATACTGTGTAACAATTAGATCAGACAATATTGGTTCAATGTCAAAAGTGATATGACAAGTCAAAACTCACAGCGTCTACAGTTGCCTTATATTGATCTTGGTTCTAACTTTCATTGTTGCTAAGCCGGCTTAAATTGAATAAGAAAATAGACATATATATTTATTTATTTTTAATAATTATATGCATCACGTAGATGGCATTGTTTATAAGCAAAGGAGTAGGCCTAAACAAGACTCGGCTTCTCCTGTTCAAAGAGGAGAAAAGATTAATGGAAAGAAAATATTTGTATGTTTTCAGAAAATCAGAATTAGATCAAGCAAAAAGAAATGGAGAAGCTAATAATAATTCAATATAAGAACCAATTAAACAACAATAAAATTGAAAGGAAAACATATAATTAAGTAGGGGAAAATTAAAGAAGCAATTACAACTAGAAAGGGATCGAGAGACCTGGATATTTTCTAGCGAAAGTGTCCCATACACTTGGCCCTTTCCCATCTTCAAGAGCAGCTCCTTCAATCTGTGCAAGTAATTAAAGGAAAAACATATAACGCATATCTTGTGTATACGATTGGCTGATGGCATATTTGTTACGGTACCTGGTAAGCAGCTGAGCCGGCACCAAAACTGAAACCTGCTGGAAAACTGCTCCGGTTAAATGGCTTCGAATAATGGTTTGGTTTTGCCCCATTGGTGGTGGCAGCCAGGGCTAGCAGGCAGATGAAGAAAAAAGGACCCTGACTTGCCATGTGATACAGGAGTATACAACGGCCCGGCGTCACCATGCCTCACCATGCACCCAATCTCTCTCTTTTAGATCCCCTTTATCCCTTGTATAGCACTTAACATTGAGAAATAGTCTTTGCATTTGCATACTGCCATAAAACAAAGAAACATTTGGCATCTTTTACTTGGCCAACATACGGTCGAAAGGATTCCATTTCCAAAACTCTATTCCTAAGACGGTACATAAACCACAAGAGCAAAATGACGTAGAATTCCAGTATTAATAGTATTTAAATTCTTCATAGTCTGGAAATTTTGTTTTTAATCTAAACTCACACTTTTATGTTTTTTCAGAACTTACCTTCCAAAAATTATGTCTTTGACAAATTCATGTAGTACCATATATTAAAATAACTATTGCCTTGGGCAAACTCTAATGCGTCCAAGTTTCACAAGGTCGGCAGATGATGCTGCACCAAGAACTTGGTTGTGCGTAGGAGATGGGATCATACGTGGCAAACCACAACCATTATTGGAGTTTCCTGTTGACAGATGAGATTGCTGAAGCCATTGTTGGGTAGTCTTTGGCATATAAAAAGGACAGAGTAGAGCCATTTTGGAGTTAGGCTCCGCTCGCAATACTCATTAGTGTGAAAAATTAGTTTTTAATTCGGAGAAGAAGTGGTGTGTGTTAATTACATAACTTTTACTTGGTTGTTATTTAGTTTCTTTTATTTAGTTTTTCATGTTAGTTATGTTTTGACAATTAAAGAAAATATAAGGGACAATCCACAAACTTAATGGTGTGACAATTCCAAATAGTATTTTTTTTAAAATTTTATTTATTTATTTTTTAACATTATTTTTTATAAGACTATAAAGCTGTTATTTTTATTAATGAAACTGTGTGATTATCTTCCTCTTTTGTTTTAGGACTCAAAAATCTCTTTAAATCTCTCAAAATTCTAACATAATATTAGAGCTGTGATGATGTAAAATCACTTTAAAAATCCCTATTAGCTTTTCTTCCTTACCCTTTACGGCTTTTGCAAACTTCAATGCCTCATTGCTCCACCCATTTTTACAAGAGAAAACTACCTAATATGGGTAGTAAAAATGAAGGCGTATTTTTATGTGTTCAATTTTTGAGAGATTGTTAAAGTTGGTGAAAATTTTCATGAGATGAGACAATCAAACCCAATAATCGTGAAGAAATTAAGTATAAAGTTTTATCTTGTAGTCATTCTGTTATTTCTAACTAGATTTTTACTCATATAATGGTTTGTAAGTTTACCAAAATAACATGAGACAAGTTGAAGGTTGAGTTTCATGATAGTGATAGGACCCATTAAATACAAATCCTAAATTTGCTTCGAGAGTTTAAAGTATTAAAGATGAAGGATAAGGAAAGTGTGAAAGAATACTCGAAAAAAGTTTTGAAAGTAATTAATTAGTTGAGATTAAATGGAAAAAATTTATCAGAAAGAAAAATAATTATCAAATTCCTTACAAGCTTGCCAAAGAAATTTGAAACCAAAATATCTTCTTTGGAGGACCGTGCTTTGAGGCTGAGAGATCATGTAGAAAATTCTTTACTAGCATGTGCAAGTGAGAAGAAAAATAGTGATAGGAAATAGGATCAGTAAAAGGCTTAGTATCCTCTTTGTTCTTATTGTAAAAAGTGCAACCATAATGAGGTTTTTGCTGGTACTGACCAAATGTTCTTGTAGCCAGCTTGGTCACATGGAAAAAGTCTGCAAGAACAAAGCCAATCAAGGAGAAGAAAAAGTTGTAGTAGCCAAGGAACATGAGCTGAATGAGGAGATGTTACTCATGGCAAAGATTCCCAAGAGATCAATAAGCTCTAAAGCATTGGAATATATGAGTGTCCTTCATAAACCTATTAACTCTTTTGACCAAGACAATAACAGAATTATTTATCCGTAGGAGACTTACAAAGATAAGCATGGGAGTGATTCAGGAATATATGACTATGAAAGATAGATTTAAATTAATAAGATCTAAATTGGGAGTATTGAAAGTTGACTCTAAGGAGGTATATTGGAGTTAGGTCTTGCTTGCAATACTCTTTTAAGTGCTAAACGTTATTTTTTAATTTGAAGAAATAGTGATGTGTGTTAATTACATGTCTTTTACTTGGTGGTTATTTAGTTTCTTTTATTTGGTGGTTATTTAATTTTACACATTAGCCAAGTTTTGGCAATTAAAGCAAATATAAAGGACAATCCACAAACTTAACGATATGATAATTCCAAATAATACTATCTATTTTTTTTTAATTTTATCTACTTGTTTTTTAACATTATTTTTTACAAGATTATAAAAATCGTTATTTTTATTAATAAAACTGTGTGATTATCTTCCTCCTTTGTTTTAACACCCAACAATCTCTTAAGTCTCTCAAAATTCTAACAAACCAGAAATCTATCCATCTTTGATGCACATGCACACTTGCCGGCCTCTCTGACCCAATCACAGACAAATAGAAATCAAAGACTTTTCATCGTGCAAAACCATTTAAGTCCACGTGCTTAACAATGAAATCCATGACTGTTAAATGATACAAAAGCCAAGGACCCTTGTTGACTTTGATCGTAGCTGGATCAGGGTAGCTAAACTAATCTTGTCACCAAATTTCATCACAGGAGTATAGGATACATAAACAACTTAAATTAATCAAAAACTATTTGCCTGTTCCACAATGAATTACTATAAAATTTTATAAAACTATTACTTAATTCATCAGACAAAAGAATCTCACGGTGGAACAGAGGAAGAGGGACCTATTTCGGCTGCTTGTGGGATTGGGGTTGAAGCCGTGGTGTCTGATTTAGTTTCAGAGGATGGTTGGTTACCAGTGTTCGCTCGCCGAATTTCCTCCACCATTCTCACTAGGTCAGACATTTTTGGTCTCTGCTCTGGCATTCTCACCACACAACTCATCCCAATTTGTAGCATCTCCACCATTTCCTCCTCTATATTGGGATACCTTAAAAGTTCTACATCAAATACTTCTGCAGTCCACTCCTCTCTAACTACAGAATGCACCCACCTCACCAAGTGAACAATCTCCTCACCACCTGTGGCATGCATTGGTGATTTTCCAGTTAAGATCTCCAGTACCAAGACCCCAAAACTGTATACGTCGGATGCTTGGGTTGCTTTCCTAGTGTCTGGTACTTCAGGTGCACGATAACCTGCAGCCCGCATCACAGGTGGAGGCATTGGGCTCATTACTGCTGCCAAACCAATATCTGAGACACAACCATATCCTTCAGAGTTAAGGAAAATGTTGGAAGACTTTATGTTTCCATGAACAAGTTTGCCATTGTTTTGTGAGTGGATATAAGCAATGCCTCTTGCAGCACCAACTGCAATTTTAAGTCTAGTCTCCCAGTCCAGAGATGTCTGGCCCTCACCTCTTTTTCCTGAAACATTAGAGATGCATCAAGATACAATGTTTACATCTTTGCAAAGTGCAACTAACTTCTTCGAGGGAATTAGAAATTGATGAATAAATTGAGGATTAACAAACACATTATATTAAACAAAATAGATCTAACTCTTGACGTTAAACCATAGCCTTAAGTGTTATCAAATTCAACCATGACTCCTTATTCTGCAGCTGAAATGTAGAAAAGAGATATATTACGTGGCCCTGAAATTTAGTTCTATGTGCTTCTTTTATGGCTTGCTCTCAGTAAATGGCATTTCTCAACAACAGTCTTGCATTACAGAAGCAGATAGCAAGCGTTTCCTTCTACAATGTTCATATGCCAACTTACACTAAAATTAGGAACAAAAAAGAGGAAACACCCTTAGAATTCATAAATTTTCTAAAACATAGGCGAAAAAGTGAGGCGGAGCAGATCTTATAGCAGGAAATTGAGGGACTGACTCATTTGAGAAATTAACAGCCAGCAAGTTTGAGATAATCAAATAAGAGCTCAGCTAAAAATTGAAACTAAGCATATCAAGTTACCATGTAGCATAGCAGACACGCTTCCCTGGTCATAATAATCATGGACCACAAGCTTCTCATCCTTTGAATAATAGTATGCCCTAAGCGCAGACACATTCTCATGGCTGATACGCCCAATGACCTCCATCTGTTGCTCAAACTCCCGTTTTGCTGAGGTTACCTCCTTCAACCTCTTCACAGCCACTGTAGTTGCATCCTCCAAGGCTGCTTTGTATGTTACTCCAAATGTACCCTTCCCAAGCACCTCTGCAGATGCTCTCAACAGGTCCTCCAAGTCAAATGCAAGATTACAACCCTCGAAGAAGACAAGCCTGTTGTTCTTATCCTGATTCTCAGAAGCCTTTTTCTTCAAAGAGACTTCTTTTATTTGTGACTTTGCTGGAAACTCTTGTTCCTTTTGTCTCTTAGTGTAACAACAGATCATCAAAAGGGCAATTAGCACAAACAGCATTACGCAGCCACCAATTACAATCGCCAAGAGTGCGGGTTCACTAAGTTTTTTGGCTTTTTTTGATGGTTGAGCATTAGCTGGCTGGCCTGGAAGAGCAGGGGGAAGGGCGTTTTCTGATGAAAGATTATTACCAAAAAATGCCCAGCTTGGAAATCTTTCAAGGGACTTAGGAACAATTCCTGTGAAGTTATTGTTTGCTAAATCAAGCTGTTGCAAACTAGGGATATTGAGATCAGGAATATCACCTGAAAGTAAGTTATTAGAAAGATTGAAAGCAGTGAGGTGAGTCAATTTTGATGCTGAAGGAGGAATGCTTCCATTGAAGCCATTGTTTGAAAGATTAACGATTGTAAGATTGTTCCAGACTGAGAAATCAGGCAATGGGCCGGAAAACTTGTTGAACTGAAGATAAAGGGTGGTCAAGTTCTTCAGTTCAGAAAAATCAGAAGGGAATGAACTCGAAATGCCATTGGATCTAAGACTTAAAATCTGAATAGCTGATAGACGACTGAGAGTTTTAGGTGGAATCGAGCCACGAAGTCCCATCCCAGGCAAACGCAGGGCAATAACCCTGGAATGATCACTGTCGCATGTCACTCCTATCCAGCTGTTGCATACAGAGGTTTCCTTGCTCCAGTTAAGAGAGCGTGAATGATGAACATGTTCAAGGAAATCTAGTAATGCTTGTTTATCTTCAACAGGGTCAGCAAGGATGGAAGAGAAAATTGCCCCCAGCAAGAATATGAATAAGAGGTCCATTTTCTTGCCCATTTTCCCAGCTGTCTCAAAATCCCAACAATCCAACCAAAATCGCTGTGAAAAGAGGGAAGCTTTTCTGCAAAATTATGGCCACATCTACATGAATTTGAATGACAAAAGAAATCAGAGTCAGCAACGCAATCATTAAAGATCTGTTACTGACATATAATCAATTATTAACAACAAGAACGTTTGTTAAAAACTTCTACAAAAGATGTTGACTTAAATGACTGGGTTTTAGGCCGAATTTTGTCAAAAGCAGCCTGTTTTAGGTGCGTTAGGTTTGGTCATTTGTTGACTTTTCTTTCCCCAACGTTCTCTGTTTGGCTACTGAGTAAAATGCTTAAAACATAACAAGAAAAGGAATCTGTAATCCGAATTCAGCAAATCTAATGTTATGGAACTGAAACCTGATTTGCTTACTTTAGCATTCACCATTCACCACCCAAAGCACAGCTACTTGACTCAGTTGAAGTTTCCATATTCTCAAGATGCAAAATTTAAACCATTCGTTACGAATGGTCAAAACCCATAATAACTTTGAAAGCTTGCTCGACCAATACATAATATTCAAGCACCAAAAAGGAAAACAAAAAGAGTAAGAGGAGCTCTTAGTAATCAAGTTCGTAGAACATACTTACTTTGAGAGCCAGAACCCAGATCAAATGAAACCCCGCAAAGAACCGGAAATGATCAAATATAAGAACTTGTGAGTTCCCAGGAGCATTGGGATGGAAGCAAAGGAGAAGACGGAAGGAGAATCAGACAAGAGTTACGGGGGGCTAGCTAACGAGTTCATGATGACAATGATAATAGTCATGATAGATTTATGAGCTGTTCTTGCTTAAAAGAGCAGCATCACATGCAGCCAAAAAACAAAAAAGAAAAAGAAAGACAGAAAACTACTCCTATTACATAATCATTTGAGAGAAGAGAACACTCCCCACATATTGATATTAAGCACTTTTTTATACCGCAAGACTAGGAAAAGCCATGTGCAGACAAAGAAAGAATAGGAAACTGATTCGAAACTAAAACTTTAAACTGCTTAAACATAAATTTATAAAATTATTTTATCTTTGTATTGATTTAGCTAAGAAGCAGGAGCCGCTGTGGGGTATTGTAATGTACTGTACGTAGCAGTGAAACCATGCATGGACTTCTCAAATGTGTTCTTCCTGCCATTGATGATTGCTTTAAATCGGTAATTAAATTGTTTGGGATGATCGAGGACAGTAAATTAAAAAAAAATCAAAGAAGAAAGTCAGGGAAGAACTAATTGGAGGGACGGTGATGACCCGGTGAAGGTTATGTCATTCCAAAGAAAATTTCCAAAAATCAATCATTACATTTCTGACCAAAAGAATTAACCATAAACAAAATATCATACCATGCCCCAATGCTACTCGCTGCCTTAGCACGCGCAATATAATTATTAGAAAATGAAATACCAAACTCTGTCGTTTTGGTATTAGAAAATAAATGGCTATTGAATACCTGTTACTATATAATAATAAAAGCAGATATTAATTCCATTAAATCTAATACTACAATACGTATTAATTAAATTAATTACATCTGCATTGAAATAGTACTATGCTGTTGACAATAAACAAACTCTTCAACGTGAATTAAAAAGGAAAAAGAAGAGTTTATTTTTGAAGAAAAAATATGGTCGGAGAAAAGTGTGGGGTTTTGAAAGCCCCCGCACCGGTGACCTAACAAAGTTTGAATATAGTAATATATTTGAGATAGGGACGTCAGCTCCACGCTCTAGATTTAGACGTTGACTTGAGATAGGGTGTGTGCGCTATTAAGACAAAGCGGGAACCATCAAAGAGCGGCCGAAGCCCAATCAGTGCCGACGGTTGCACCGCTGAGATGACTGTGCCCACCCCTCACATGACGATGTTTACCCATCCCCAAACTTATTACTCTGTTGAATGGGCCCATTGCCCACGTCATTGGCCCTCACAGTCGTTCATCTTCGGCGCTGAAGGCGTATCGTACACCTCAGCAATTATTGCGGATGAGAATTTTTTCAAAAAAGCCGTTGTTCTCCTTCGTACATCCGTTGACGTTAAATTATATATTTGAGAATTTGTACATAATTTACTGCAAGGATAGATAATTTTCGTTAATGTTCTAATGATCGAAATAATCAAGTAATACTATAAACTATATAATTAGTTGGATATATTGTTATATAAAATATAATGTTGCTAAGTGACACATATTTTGTAATTTATTCGTGGTAATAATAAGTTTGTCATTATGATTTCATTAGATTATGATTAAGCATATAAAGAATAACTCTGCAAATTTTGTTTAGTTACTAATATATAAATTAGTGATATAAAATATCTTAGTACAAACATTTTTTCTTCTATATGTAAAATCTTGAAAATTAATAAAATTATTGTATAAAACATCAAAGAAACTCAATTAACCTTTTTCATTTTAAATAAAAACCCTAAATTTTTTCCAGAAAATTTTTATCATTCATCCTTCCTGGATTAGTGTTTAACCCTCATGTTAAAATCGATAGAAAAACAAAATTTTGAATTTTTTTTCTCAAAGTAGGGCGTAAATAAACAGTGAAATGGGGTAAGTGATGGTGAAATAAACAATATTCCACAAATTTAAAATAAAACAAAAATCTAAAGTCTAAAGAAATGTAAAAGGTATAAATAAATTACAAAAAGCCAAAAAGAATATAATAAAAAATATGGTGTCGCTGCTTTATGAACATGTGTGAGGTAATTGCTCCATTTTAGTACTTATTTAGTCTCGTTTTGTTTGTTTTTTATTAATTTTTTAGTCAAATACATTTAATTTTTTCAACAAAAGAGAAACAAAATAAGGCAGAGAGAATATTATTATTAATGAATAATTAATTTGTTACCTCGTTAAAAAAATAATTAAATTAATTTACTACATCTTTTAAAAAATAATTAATTAAATTGAGTAAAAGTTAAAAGAAAACAGAAACGATTAGGCATAATGTAAAGTAGATGAGCCTATGATGCGAAATGAAATAGAGGCTAGCAATAGCGCAACTTTCTAGAACAGGGCAATGAAGTAGGCTAAATTATTAGTCAAATTCCATGATATAGACGAGTGGCCAATTATTGAATAATATCCTCATTCCGCTTATCACGTTATTAAGATTAGATTAATGGGCATTTACAAAGCCTTTGGGACAGCATGCGTTGACCTTCGATCAAAGTTTTAAAAGCCGAAATTGTTAATTGTTAATTCATTATGGAAGGATCAATTATGATGCGAATTGCTATTGAGTGGGTGATAATGTGTCTCAAGGCGGTTTTCATGAATATTGTTTATTCATAATTCATAATTCATAATTCGTGAAATATGAAATTATATTATGGCTCAAGTCAATGCATGTCTCCATTCTTTTAGTTAATTTGGAGTTTTAGTTAATTATATTATATTATGAAATGTTGTCCTTTCTCTTTCACTTTGGAGTTTGGCATATTTTTTGGTTAGATAATTTTGAGATGGAATGAATGTTTTTGAAATTAGCTTGGCTTGTTAAGTGTCACCAGTGGCTACCATTTGCCATGATTCCATCAGTTAACAGTAGCATGGATTTAGAAAAAATTAATACATACTTATTAAATATAAACTAATTTTTTTACACGACGTGTCAACAAATTAGAGTGGTGCAGTGGAAGCGTGGTGGGTCGATAACCCACAGTTCCCATGATCAAAATTTGGCTTTGATATAAAGTTGCCTTCCAAGTTTTAAACGATTAATTTTGAGTCTTATTTTAAAAATTGATGAATTTGTGAGAAATTTGAATTTTATTTTAAAAATTAATAAATTTATGAGAAATTTTGATGAAAACCTAAAAAAGTCTAAATGCTTTATTTCAAATTATTTTAGTGTTGTCCTTTTCTTGTCAGTTTTAAATGTGATAATTTTAAGATAGAATGTTTTTTAAAGTAATTTGGTTGGTTATTGTAATTAGTTGCCGTGAATAACCATTATTCGATTAGTTAATAGAAATATAAATTTAACATAAATTAATTAAGAGTTTATATTTAATGTATTGACAACATATAATTAACTTTTATACATTATTAAGCCATCAAATAATGTCATTTCATTGAGAATTAAATATTCTCATTAATGATGGGCATTGATGGTTTGACAATGCATAGAAATTATATGGTAAATACATCAAATATAATTTTTTTATAAAATTAATAATATTTAATTTTAAGTCTCTCAAAATTTTAAATTTATTTCTTAATGAAGTGATATTGTGATGACTTGATATATTGTTAATATATCAAATATAGTGCTACACAAAAAATACTTATATTAATACGATAAAATTTAATTTTGTACACCCTCATATCACCAAATCAAAGTGGCGCAGCGGAAGCGTGGTGGGCCCATAACCCACAGGTCCCAGGATCGAAACCTGGCTTTGATAAAAAGTGGCTTCCAGCGTTCAAATTTTGGGGTCATTCATTTAAAATAAAAATCAAAACGACACCGTTCCTTGAACCTCCTAAACCTAGCATTTGATTGGTTCAAAATCAGTAAGGCGTCCGCGATATCTCGCCAAAAGGAAAAAAATTAAAGAAAAAGAATAATAGAAAAGGATAAACGAGAAGAAAGAGAGGATAAGATTAAGACCCCAATAAAACTATAGATTCCAAAAGAAGCATCGAGGGAAAGATTGAACAAAAGCAAAACCCTAAAACTCGAAAATATCGCGATATATAACAAAACTTCCAGATCTGCAATCTCCGTTTATTTCTCTGTCGAGAAGACGAACGAATCTCTTTCTCTCTCTCCTCCGTAAGCTCCTTAAATCTCTCGCTAATTTCTCTTTCTTTTTTGTTTTTCTTGCAACTCACAATTCTCGGTTTTTCTTTTTACATTTTAAATTACATAAACACTCTCTCTCGCCTTTTTCAATGCTTCAATAAAGGTTTTAAATGTTGGTGCTGGATTATGGTTTCCTTTCTGGAATTTTAAACTAAAGACAGTGTTTGGTTGCTCAGAAAATGAACGCAAAAGAGAGGCGGAAATTTCGAATTTTACGGTGTGAACTTTTCCAGTGGAGGTTTTTTCTGTTTCGGTGGAAAAAGATTTTGCTGGAAATTTATTTTGAAATATTCACTGTATGGAGGTCATGATAGTTTTTAGTAGTGGGAAAATGAACATTGAGCTTTGAATCAAACTAAAATGTTGAAAAATATGGAAATTCAAATCTATACGATTCTCGGTAAGATGCTTTGCAGATTTGAAAATTTGATCGTCTGATGCTTTTTTTTTTTTTGAAGATGTTTGATGAACTTTCTTAACATGATTTTTTTTTCATTTTAATTTGCTTCCTTTTGTAGGTCAAATTGGACAACTTAATAGTCATTTCCCACCATCATCAGTAAGTTCGAGTTTCGGATTTACTAGTACATTTGCATTTGCTTGTTTGAATGAAATAATTTGCTTCAATTGTCTAATCGTTTTGATTGCATAATCATTTTAAAATGACAAGAGTGCAATGATGATTATGTGCACTAACGTTTATGGCAGTGGTTCGAGAAAAAGATGTGTGTTGGGAATATGCTGAGAAACTTGATGGAAATAAAGTTAGATGCAAATTTTGCCTTAGAGTTTTGAATGGTGGGATTAGTAGGTTAAAGCATCATCTATCTCGTCTTCCAAGCAAAGGTGTAAATCCGTGTAGTAAAGTTAGGGATGATGTTACTGATAGGGTTAGAGCTATTATATCATCGAAAGAGGAGATTAAAGAGACATCTAGTGTTAAGAGGCAGAAGATTGCTGAAGCTAGATCCCCTGGAAATATATCCACCAGTAGTAAAATTATTGCTTTAGAGGTATCATCTCCTGTGGCAAAAGTTTTCCCTGCTGCCTCACCAATTGCCCCTCCATCATTGAACAGCCAAGAAAATGTGGAGAGAAGTATCGCTTTGTTCTTTTTGGAGAATAAGTTGGACTTTAGTGTAGCTCGTTCTTCATCCTATCAAGCAATGATTGATGCAGTAGGAAAGTTTGGTCCTGGATTTACAGGGCCATCTGTTGAAACCTTGAAGACAACGTGGTTGGAAAGGATCAAGTCTGAAGTGAGTTTACAATCAAAAGATACGGAGAAAGAATGGGCTACTACTGGCTGTACCATCATTGCAGACACGTGGACGGACAATAAATCCAGAGCTTTAATAAACTTCCTAGTTTCATCACCCTCAAGGACATTTTTCCACAAGTCAGTAGATGCCTCATCATATTTTAAGAACACAAAATGCCTGGCTGATTTGTTTGATTCTGTTATTCAAGATTTTGGCCCAGAAAATGTTGTGCAAATTATCATGGATAGTAGTTTCAACTATAGTGGTATTTCAAACCATATCTTGCAGAATTATGGAACCATTTTTGTGTCTCCTTGTGCTTCTCAATGTTTGAATCTAATCTTGGAAGAATTTTCTAAGGTAGATTGGGTGAATAGATGTATCTTACAAGCACAAACATTATCCAAGTTTCTGTACAACAATGTGTCAATGCTTGATTTGATGAAGAAGTTTACTGGGGAACAGGAGCTCATAAGAACCGGAATAACAAAGTCTGTATCTAGCTTTCTATCATTGCAATCAATGTTGAAACAGAGGTCAAGATTGAAGCATATGTTTAATAGCCCCGAGTATTCAACTAACTCCTCATATGCAAATAAACCACAGAGCATATCTTGCATTGCCATTGTTGAGGATAATGACTTTTGGAGGGCACTAGACGAATGTGTAGCTATATCTGAGCCTTTTCTGAAAGTGTTGAGGGAGGTATCTGGAGGGAAACCTGCTGTTGGTTCTATATATGAACTAATGACCAGAGCCAAGGAATCAATAAGGACATATTATATAATGGATGAGGGTAAGTGTAAGACATTTTTGGACATAGTTGATAGAAAGTGGCGGGACCAACTTCATTCACCTCTACATTCAGCTGGGGCATTTTTAAATCCCAGTATCCAGTATAATCAAGAAATAAAATTTCTTGGATCTATAAAAGAAGACTTTTTCAAGGTTCTGGAGAAACTACTTCCCACTCCTGAGTTAAGACGTGACATCACCAATCAAATTTTTACTTTTACAAGGTCAAAGGGGATGTTTGCGTGTAATCTAGCAATGGAAGCACGAGATACAGTTTCTCCTGGTATGTATACAGCTTTGTATCAGGCAATGTTCTTGCTTTTGGTTGTGCATGTGTATGGTTTCTGTGTGTGTGAGAGCAGCCCCTAGCCTTTTGCTTCTCCTTTGCCCTTTAAATGTGCCATAATTTCCCCAAAAACTAGAACAGTTTGCTATATTATTTTAGCCAATGAAATCTTAGTTGTCATTCTTCTAGGATTGTCTTTATATGAGTAACTGGTTAGTTAGTGTGTCTGCATTTCTCTCTTGTAGGGCTCTGGTGGGAGCAATTTGGCGACTCAGCTCCTGTGTTGCAACGGGTTGCTATTAGAATTCTCAGTCAAGTTTGCAGCACTTTTACCTTTGAGAGGCATTGGAGCACATTTCAACAAATTCACTCTGAAAAGCGGAATAAGATTGACAAAGAAATATTGAATGACCTTGTGTATATTAACTACAATCTCAGGTTAGCAAGACAAATGAGAACGAAGTCCGTAGAAGCTGACCCTATTCAGTTCGACGACATTGATATGACCTCAGAATGGGTAGAGGAAAGTGAGAACCCAAGCCCTACACAGTGGCTTGATCGGTTTGGTTCAGCTTTGGATGGGGGTGACTTGAACACGAGACAGTTCAATGCTGCCATATTTGGAAATGACCATATATTTGGCTTGTGACTGGGTTTGTGCAAGTCTCTGTACCACCTCCTGTTGTTGAGTGAGAATGCTTGTAACTGTTTATTGGTAGTCAGTTCCTGCTTGTCAGTTTAAATTATTGAATTATGTAGTGGCGGTTATGTATCAATTGCGCGCTTTGTATATACCAGCCGATGTTGCTGCATGAGAAGAAGTTAATAGTTGTGGTAATGTTCTCAACTAAAATCTGTTTTAAATGAAATTCAGCAGTCTGTAATTATAGTAAAAGGATTTTTCTAATTAATGTAGTGTCTGTTCTTCAATTTGGTGAAAAGCAATATATTAAATGAACAACTATTTTTTAAATAAATTTTAATTAAATGATGAATATACTTCTGATTAAGAATAAAAATGAAAAACTGTAACCCACTTACGGCAGAAAGAAGTTATACTTGTGCTATTTGTGTACGCATTAGAAGTAATAGTATTCTTTAATAAGTTTTTCGCGACCGCGTACTGAAGAATAAATCTTCAAGAAGAGCTAAAAACTTTCCCCTACAGGACTTGTACTTCCAATTCCTTCCATCTTTCTTCTCAACACTTCCCTCCCTTTCCTTCTCCTGCAAATTTCCCTCGCCTTCCACCAAAATCGTAATGGACTACGATTTCAGGAACAGAACAGGTCCCCCGTACGATGCGCAAATCCCTATGTACCGGCAACAGCCCACTTCATCATCATCATCATCGATGCCATCTAGCCATCCGATGTACGGACCTTCCTTATACCCAAGAATCGGTCAACCCGCTCACACCGTAGTCTCTCCTGCACCCCGCATCCCACCTTTCCATCAGACCTCTTCTCCTTCCACTTCGTGTAAATTCTCTCTCTCCCTAAACGTTCTTTCGTTAAAAGTATTATTCATACTTTTTGTCAAAAAAAAATTGGTAAAATAATTTCTTTTTGTGTTTTAATTAATTTTATTTATGGCAGCGGGATTGGGCGTTAGGGTTGCTCTGAAACCAGAATATCGGATCACTCCCCCGGTAAGCTTTCTCAGTCGTTTCCTTTGGGTTTTAATTAGAGGGATAAGTTAGGTTGTTAGGGTAATGCTATGGAAGTAATTGATTTCTCGGCTTTGCAGCCTCAGTTGTCGCCACAAGTTGGGGACATTCCTCGAAGCAATTTCCAGTTTGATTTCGAGTTTGAGAGGAAAATCTTAGCCGAAGCAGAGAAGGAAAGCATGAATTTTAGCAGGCTTGGCTTGGAAAACCTTTCTTCTAAACCTACCGAATCAACTTCTTCATCGGTACGGTTTTCTTATTCTCAATAGAGATTTAGGCTTCCTTTTGGATCTTTCATTAACCTTGTAACTTGTCTGTTCAATGATTCATCTTGTGATGACTTTGAGTAGGATTTTGTTTTCGTGAAATTAGTCCACATCTGTTGAGCTTCTAAGGGTTTGTTTGAAAAAAAAAAATTATTTGACCGTGCAGGGTGCGAAGTCAGATCCTGTGGTGAGCAAATACATTGCCTCTGGACTCAACCGAGAAGCTGTAACTGTTGCAGTTGCAAATTATGGAGACGATCCAACCAAGGTATTCTATGCCATTCACAATTGATAATTTGGTACAGAACCCAATCATTTGAAAGTTAAAACACCTGATGATTTACACTTTTTCCCCTGATAGTGTATAGATCAATTGTAGTCCAAATGTTTAGCTAGGTTGATTCTATGTTGAAGTCTTCCTTACTTGATTTTATAATTTGTAATGTAGGTTGGATTTGATTGTTCTTGTGTATTTCCCCTTGTCTTCTAATATAGCGAGTTATAGTCCATAAGTATGCTTTATGCTTAAGATTGAGGAAACACATTCTTTGCGGATGATTAGGATCCTGTCCACAGGCATTTTGTCCATTGGCAGAGAGTAATTTTGGTTTCTTAGCTTGCTAGAATTCCGCCCTGATATTTTACTGCATTTGGCTTAAGTAAGCTATTAATCTTCTAGGAGAAGTGACTGGTTTTGATGGCCAGGAGTTAGTATCCTGAATTTCAGGTCATGGATTGAGAGAAACGAGCAGTCTTGTAGTGGGGAGCTTGAGTAGTTACATCACTTATTCCAGATCTGCAGCTGGCATTTGCCATTGATTTTATAATGTTAATTGAAGTATGTCTCTTACCATTTATTTATGTATTTTGTTACTTTCCTTCCTTAGGTACGTGAATTTGCGCATGGTTACAACCTACTGCGAGAAATGGGATTCTCATCAAACAATGTTGCTGAGGCCTTACTCATGTATGACAATGACACAGACAAGGCATTGGCGCATTTGCTCAACAACTCATCATGAGGATGATATAAACTAAATAGTTGTATGTGAGTGAAGACTGGAGTGATAATGTGATACCTTTTTTGTTTAATTTTTTTTTTAATTTCTGGTGTGCTTTTTATGCTTTGATACAGATTATACAAATGTTCATTCTGTGATATTTTATCCCTTTAATAAAAGAAAAAAATAACTATGAGCAGCATATACTTTTTGGTGTCAATTGTGTGCATGGATATAGAGTCCCTTGATATCATTGTTCTGGACAATCAGATAACATTTTAGAAGTATTGCCTATTGGCCCATCTCCACATGCAATTTTCGGTGGTTAGATTTCAAACTTCAGACCTCTGAAAGAAAGATGTGAGAATTTTGTTGTACTTGTGATGCAACTTTGACCATCTACTTCTTTGAGTCATCAACTTAATACATTAATCATCTATTGATCCCAATGATATCAACTTAAGAATAAATCACATATGTATGTCTCTGAATGAAAGAATAAACTTATATATTCTGTAGTCTAAAGAACAAACAAAATCGAAAAAGGGATCATGAAACCCTCTTCAACTAATATGATCAACTCTATAAGCCTTTAACTGTGTCAATTCCAAACTCTACTCTCAACAGTTCCTCAGATGGCAGTCAAAACAACCTTTATTGTGCAAGCAAGAAGCCCTCTAATCAAAAATTGAGGAGCCATCCTTTCTCTATCAGGTTCATGTTTAGCTGACTGACTATTTGGAAGAAGAAATAAAATCCTATCTTATAGCATCAGCCATAAGGTTTATATTTGCCTTCCAGGATCAGTTAATAAATTCAAACTCCAGAACAAATAGCTCCTGCAACCACAGCCAAAGAAAACAAAAGGGATGCATGTTAGTTACCCCACGAACTACCCAAATCAATCTCTGGAAGAACATTCTCATCTAGGGTGTCTATACCTGAAACTGTTCACTGACTTATCCCTAAGGACTAACAAAACAGACAGGACATGATAGCTGAAATGCTAATAATACTTCTTATTTTAGAACTTGTTCATTGCAGTAAAGTTTAGCCATTAATATCCACATTAATACATTAAATATACAATCAAATGTATGATATAAACAGAGAAGTCAGTTTGAGAAAGCAGGAAAGGTGCTTGATTTCTGTGTGTGCAAGTGCGTGCGCGAGAGAGAGAGAGAGACCTGTTGACCAAGATGAGCAGCAAAACTTCCCTTCATCTACATATTTGACCTCAAGCCCTAAAAACCAGGATCCAGCACTGACATCATCATGGGCATAATTGCGAAGAAGAGATCTGCAGTCAACAAATTAGGATCAACTTCTTGCTTTTATAATGGTAGAACTAATGAAATTGTAGCACCAAAGAACAAAGGACCTGACCTATTTATTGAAATAAATTTAGCCAAAGCTCCTGATATGACATACATTTCACCTGAAGCATGGCGGAAGTATCTGTTGAATGCCCAAAGAGAAGAGTTCATACTAGGAAAACAAATATCATTAAAGTAAACAAATATTAAGAAGAGTTCATATAAGAAACATATTCCTGGATTTTCTGTCCATATATAAGATAGTTGCTGATTTGAAACTCATTTCGATAACTGAGTTTTGGTACTTAAGTAAAGTGAAAGTAATTTACAAACTTAACTGACAACACTGATCTTGATAGTGTGGGCAACTAAGTACTATTAACAGATATTATTCATTGAGATTTTGTCAAGAGTATGTCAGTAACAAGCATAATTAGTTTAGTCATGGAAGCTTTCTTCTGGTTCTCCTAGAAGATGAAATCAGTACAGCAAAACTTACGATTTTTTATCACCAAACTTCCACCAATCTGGTTCATACCATTTATGGCTCCTGCCAACATCCAGAATTGCAAACATGAGAAGAAATAATGCTATTCAAGTAAATATCAAACTCATGTATCCTAAACACTGAATCTAGATTCGAATATCTAAGCCATACTCACGGTTCAGAGAAAACTTCGCCTGATTTCATACAGCCAATATAAACACGAGGTTTGTCCATATGAGATGTAAGTGTAGCTCCCAAGGCATCTGGAAAACATCAATCTGATTAGTTGAGAAGGCATGGCACTGAGCAAAGGTTTTATCAATTGTGAAACAAATCTTGTAATGGAAAGCTTGTTCATCTTTGAAGATTATAGAACAAAATTAAGATACCACAGAGTGCAGGTAATGAATTTGACAGGCTTTGAACAGTGAGCCCCTAATTACATAGTTCAACAGCATTATCAATTTTTAATCTGCAATCAACAGATTTAAAATTGAAATCTCCTGTCTGTCAATGTTATGGTGTTTGCTAGTAAGTCAGCTTATAATCTTCAAAAATGGTTTTCATCTACTGTATAAGGTCATCTTAGAGAATCACCATTGTAAATTTGACCTCACAAAGATTTAGCTAGGTTGTTTTCTAAATCAAGTAAAAAGGTGAAACAATTTAAATGTATTAACAAAGTGCTATAACTTAGACAATTGACAATTCTGAATTAAGACTCTTCCAAATTCACATTGATGCACATAGTTGATCTAGGGGATCGAAGAAAGACTAAAGGTTACCCATCTATTATGATACTAACCAATATTTACATATACATCATCATTGACTTTTGCATAAAACTCAGCATCCCATCTGTCTGCAGCTAGAGCAAAAAACATTTCAGCCTTCTTTGGAAGCTCCCCAGGTGCCTCCACTTGGTCCTGTTAATGAAAGTTTATAGAAATGATCATATAGTTGAATCCATAACCAACTCTATGAAACAAGACAAGTCATTTGCTTCCAACCGACTTCTTAAAGGAATAGTTGGATAAGGAGTGTTCCATTGGACTTACAAGAATGATAAAGTCATTTGTTTGCCTATTTTCATTATCAATGCTCCTGTCCAAACTGTCCCCACGATTTGCACTGCAAAAGGATGCAACTTAAGAATGAGTTCTAGCTTACCATCTTATAATTTATCAAGGATCCTTAGAAAAGGAATACTTGAATGAGAAAATTATACCTCCTTCCAATGACAAATCTGGAAACTATGCCCTTTTCATTCTCCAATTTCTTCAAAGTTGCACCTGGGAAATAAACGTTCTGGTTTTAGTTCCCCAGCAAAACAATACCAAAAGTCATTCACATCAATCTCACTGCCCTTCAGTGTAAGTGCACGATTAATTAGACAACATAAATATTTCACTAATTGCTTGCATATAAATTGTCAGTCGCAAATTAAAAAAAATAATTTGTGCATCTTGTCTAACTTGTGCCCTTACACTTAAAACAACTAGCTATAAGTGGGGCTGATTACATAAACAAGCACAAGCAGAAAATATAATGATATAATGATCTCCATATTTCTCTTTCCCTTTTAAAACTGAAAGACAATGATTCTTCTATATGCCAGCCTTTTTGTCCTTCTACAAGAAAATAAATCCATTTACACACCAATCTAACAAGGGAACAATCTCTCACCAAAAATAGAGTACAAGGAAAAATTCAGCTGACAGAAAGAAAAAAGCGTTCATACCACTTCCCATCCATGCCTTTCGGATTGCATCTCTGTTGTTCTTACGTCCAAATCTTGTTAAAACTCCTATTACTACAAGCGGCCTTCTCCTTGAAACAGCCCCATCAGTATCTAATGAAGGCTTGGAAGTAAAACCCTCTTGTCTAGCAGCAGCCAGATCCATCTCAAGGGCAGATAATTTCTTATGTTGTTCCCTAATAAGAAAATGATACTCTATAAAAATTATATTGCAATAGAAAATCTCAGTTAACAGATAAGAGTTGAGGGCCAGCAAGAATTAATACTAAAAAAAAAAAAAAACCAATAGTTTCTTTACCTGCAGGCTATGATTTTCAAAGTATCATCCACTGATATAGCAGATTGGCCCTAAAATGGAAAAAAAAAAACTCATTAACTAAAATTCCTTTTTCCAACAACAACAAAATCAAACAGTAGATAACAAAGCCAATCTGATAAATTTATACTCACAAACAGTTAAATTCCAAAGTCAAAAAGTAAATACTAAATACCACCAAGAATGTTCGAAATTCTCACCAGCCCTGTTATCCTATCAAGCTCCTTTATCAAATAAACCCTGTTTTCTGCATCCTGCCATAATCTATCTTCCACAGAAAAACCCGAAAAGAAAAAAAAGAACTTTCACATCAATAAATGAAGAAGGAAGGATCTCTAAACAGTAAAATTGAATAGACAATTACTATTAAAAAGATGGGTCTGATAATAAATCGAGAACTGACCTGCCAGCCACATAGAAAGAAGCAAAAGTGGCGAACATGGAGATCAACAACGAAGAGATTCGTGTTCGAAATACCATACTTGAGACCATGCTACTGGATCCCTTACTCTGCATTTTTCTTCTTTTTAAGACAAAAAGAGAAAAAGTGGAGATTTCTTTAAACTCAGATACAGCAAGTCAGTGACGTTAACGAGGGGTAGATCTAAGTCCAACTCCCTATCGGCTTTCAAACATCTATCTAATCTGAGTTTGGTCCTATGCTTGAGAGATGACCTGTCAGTGTCGAAAAGAATTCTCTGAGGTTCTGGGTCTTTTCTCGTCTTTGGGTTTTGGGTTTCAGTGCAATGTCCCCCGCAAAGCACCCAAACTCTCAGTTTTCTCCGCTTCGAATACACTCAAGATCAGATCACATGTACTTAACATTTTTGTACGCGGTCTTGTTTAGGATTTACTATGAATTCGGATTTGGCTAGTATGTTAAAACACAACGTAACGTTTGAAAAGCCAGAGAGGGCTTTGTCTGTTATTGTCTGCTTGCCATGCGTAGCTCTATTACCAAATTTCCACCGACTTTTTATAGTATTTTGTTTTTTGCTTTTTGGAAAGCTATTCTATGCAGATTTATATAAGCTAACTAACTTAATTAAGATTTTATAATTTTAAATCATTTCTTATACAGCAAACAAATCAATAATTCATTTTTTTAATATATAAAAACTTCATTAAAAATTTGAGTTACCGAATAAGAGATGATCTCTTTCTAACCCATAAATCCCAGAATCTATTGTCAAATTCGATTATAAAAACTTTTATATTGAAATTTTTACTTTTAACTGTAATATTGCAGCTTATTTAAGTGCAGAAAGAAAATACGGAAGCCCATTGATGTGGATGATGGGATAGTCGGGTCTGGACTGCTTGGCTAATGGGTTGGAAACTTAGAATCACTTTGCCCATCGGTCCATAATATTCTCTGCAGACCCCAATGTAAGCCCACCTGGGTCCTGTATAGGATAGGTGTATGGAAGCCCATGCTGATATGACTGAGAAATATGATTGGGATCTAAATGTTGATTTCAGATTCATGGTTGCCAACTTGCCATAGATCAATGCAACTTATTTTGTTGATCTTTACAGATTACATGCTAGAAACTACCAGAAAGAATCAAACTACTTTCTCACTAGTGATTTTAGTTGGAAGTGGAAATGGTTGGTATAGCTAGGTGTGTGTTTGTGCTTCAGCTCCTTTCACTCCATGCAGCCATTTTTAACCGCTTGTTCCAGCTTTCCATTAGCCAATTTTCTGTGCGCCACTCACGTCATTATACCTTTTGCACCCACAAACTGACAAAAGTGATTAAGCCATTCTTGACAAAGGTGCAGCGGCGCCCACCTACCGCGCCCCTTTAAATTTGGTGAGTCTCTTGCCTTTTTCTTTCTTCGTATTTTTGTGTATGTGTGGCTTGGAATTGAGTCCATTTCCATTATTGCTTTGGTTTTTTCTTCATTTACTCGTCATGTCTTTTTCACACTAATACCAAAACAATAGATGAATGCCATTTCCAGTTCATCATTATGCGTGCACTTCCAAATGATAGTATTATTACCGAAAAGCCGAAGAATATCTCAGGAGTCTTTTTCCCAATTCAAGGAACGTGCTTCCTGTTTACTGTTCAGAGTTCGGACCTGTGCTTCATCAGTTGCGTTAAGCAATACTCACAATTCTTTTTCACTGTTGTTGCCTGGTTGTTCCCTCATTATGCTATTGCTCAAGCAAATAATACTATCAAGCACTTCATTTCATAGCACGAACCAGTCAGCGGCAAAACATGCCATTCTTTCATTTATTGAAAGTTGAAACAAGGCTTTCCGTTTTACGTTTTTCACTTTACTACTCATGGTGTCATGTAAATGGTTAACTTCACGCTGTAAAGCCTGCTTCCGACTGATGAATAGAGAGACATCGACAGCTGGAAACTTATGTGAATAAAGTAAGTCAGAAAGTGCCTTATAATGTCATTGCCCTGAGGAATATTTTCCCATCTTCAGTTTTCTTTAATTCAGTATTACTGTATGACGCTGCCATGAGCCGAACTTAATACAACTTTTGTCCAGCATTCTTATCTCCTTATAAATGGTCAAATATTATGAAGAATTTATGACGAAACTTATGACTAATTAACCCGTACTTCTAACGTGGCCAAAACCGAAAGAAGCACAAGAAACAAAATAACACTAATAAGAAATGAGCCACCAAGCTTGACCCAATGGAATACATATTCTCTGCTTCTGCTTCTGCTTCTGCTTCATACTTCAAACGAGTGTCCAGGGACTATAGCTGATATGGGATCCCCTACACCTACTGCACTATATTTGGTGACTGAATAAAAATTTGAGAAAGGTAAAATAGAAAAAAGAGGAGGAAAATTTCATCTTCTTTTCAATCAAAATATGTTTTAAGATAAAATACACTAACATTTCGAAGTTTTACTCATAATTTTACGTAAATTTATTAATTTTTGAAATGTTCAATTCATCCCAAAAGAATAAATTTTCGTTAGATACATAATTAATTTCAATTGTTAATATTTTCATTAATTTTTTTAATTAAGTGTTAATATTTTCTTTAATTTTTTTAATTAAAGAAAGTGGTTTTCTTCAATTAAATGTTAATATTTTTGTTAATTTTTTTTAATTAAGAAAAAGAGATTCGAATCCTGCTCTCTAAGAGAATCATGTACCAACCAATAAACCAATGATTAATATTTTTATTAATTTGATAACATAACAACCCTAAAAAAATAATTTTACCTTTAATTAATTTTAAAAATTATCAAAATATAATTTTTTTAAAAAAAAACTCTACTCTACCTCTCACATATAGATCATATCGTGATCGAATTTAGTTGAAAAGTGTCAAATTTGACTAGATTGCACTCTCTTAGAGAGCTCATATTTAGTGCTCCTCAAGAGAGCATCGGGGAGCATCAGATCATCACTTTCCAGATCAAGTGCTCTCTTGAGATATTATTTAACTACATCTATCACAATGAGCCGTTTATCGAATCGTTGCAATTGATATTCGATCCCGAAGAGAGGAAAGAGATCTTCGAAAAGTGGGTTTTTATGATTCGATAAATAATCAAACCTATTTAAATGTTCCCGTTATGCTCTATTTTCTTGAAAAAAGAGCTCAACCCATAGAAATTGTTCATGATATTTTAAAGAAGGCGAGAGTTTTTACGAAACTTAGTTTTAATCAAATAAAATTCAATTAACGAAATACAAAAAGAGGAGGTGGATGACTCATATCTAGTCAGTCAAAATAAAAAAATATCATTCATTCATGTGAAAGAAAGAAAAAGAATAAAAAAATATTTTAAATATTTTATATTTAGATATTAATATTATTTACACATTTAAAATAAAATATTTATTTTAAAAATTAATAAATCAATATATAATTATAATCAAAATTAAGAATCTCAATATATATTAGCTTACGATTTACCAAGGCTTTGTATACACTATAATATCACAAAAATAAATGCTACACTATTTTTTTTCTTATCAATAAACTTTTATGAATATAATATACAGTACTAGTAGTAATGAATCGTAATGATGTGGTTACTATGGATTGGAGGAAGCGTCAGTGATGATGGCATGCTCGTTGGACTGCTCGAGCGAATGTTTTGGGACTATCGTCATTTCTATTCAGTCAACTCAATCACATTGCATGAAACCAACGACAACTCGCTTTTTAAAAGTTTGGGCGGCGAACGACTGGCGTTGCCTTTACTCTTCAGTCATCCTAAGCCACGTATATGTCTCTCATTCGAATTATAAATTACTAATAAAATCAAACACCAAATGCCTGAAAAGAGAATTGAGCATGAAGGCGTCGCAGCAATTGGTTTAATCTAATTTGATTGTCAACCATTTAATCACTTCCCGAGATTTGTTTTTACGTAGTAATTTTGAATTTTAAAATCGTATTTAAAACTGGATTGTTGATAAATGTTAATGTTACGTGCAAGCTTCGAAAGCTAATTGCATTTTTAATTTAAAGTAATACTGACAATAATTGATTTCCATTAAACAAAAATGGTGAAGGGACCAAAGACGGCAAATAGCAATAGGAAATATTGCAGTTGATGGGAAAAGGGAAATAAGAACTGCGATCACACTCCCTCGGTAGCTTCTTCATAAAACAGGCATTTCTTAACAGGTAACAAGGAGAAAAAACAAAGGAGTGCAAGTTAAGTGATATTAGAGAAAATTTAGAGATGGCGTAGGCAGTGATGTAGCAGTGCAGAAAAACATTGTTATCCTATCATGTTTGATAGCGATATTGATAGTGATTTCGTTTAAAAGAATCCAACAGGGTGCCTTCAATTCCTCATGGAAATTAAAAAACTAGCTATCTATATTCCCTATTCAAAAAGCAAGGATACATCATACATCCCATAATCTTTCTCTCTTTTTTCGTCGACATAATTTTGTTATTTTTACTAGGAGAGAGTCCTTTTCACATCTATATGGGAAATGTATATCACATGTTGCAGGGTTTATTTAGCCACGCAATCAAGGACCCACTGACATAGAGTGGAGTGGTGTTAAATGACACAACTAAAGTGTTAAAAATTTTCATTAATTATATTACTTATGGTAGAGTTTTATATAATTAATGACACTAATGAATTCATTAATTTTTTTTGTGTGTAATTTTGTAAGGAGTAGACTCAAAGACTTTACGTTAAAATAAATTTAATTATAACATTTTTCAGAAAAATTCTTGGATCTAACTCTGCGACTAGTTGATATGTTGAGTCAAGTAAGTTTGAATTGAAAGTAGAATTGCTTAAATATTTTTTCTTAACCCAAAAGAAACATTATGCGTACTTATATATGTAAACATCACAGTTTACAAACTATCATCTGTTATTAATGGGCGGAGGGTGGTATTGTTATGGGAAAATTTTTAAAAAATTTTAATTATTATATATATTTTTTAATAATTTGGAAAGTAGTATATTTAAGGAAGCTATGGCTTCTCCAAAAATTTTAAAAAATTTTATTTATTATATATTTATAATACTTCCCAAAATATTTTTTATTTAATAATTGATATAAATAATAAATAATAAAATGACCATATAAATCTTAATCAATGTTGTTTATTCACACCTCTTTCTCACTTTCTTTCTTTTTCTCTTTCTTTTCTCTCTTTTCATTTTTTTTATTTTACTTTACTCTCTCTTACGTAACTAATTACTGAAATACATTTTATTTTTTAAAAAAGAAATTTTTAATCTTGTGCGCTTAAATAAAGTTATTTTTTTATTTATATTATTTAATTATTATATAAAAATTTATATATCGTATTTAATTATTTATATTTTATATATTATTTTTTATAAATCTAGAAAATATCGTCAAGTATAATTTTTTTATAAGTTTTTCTTTCTTATTCATTTTGCTTTATATGTCATATAAAATTAATTTTTATTATGAATTTTTTATTATT